TTTTACGGAATTCAACTTTTTTGCAATTTTAGAAGGAGTAGCGTCAACTTCACTGTCTTTTTGGGAGAACCCAGTGGCAGAAATTTCCGCCCGATCTTCAGAAACATCTCTTTCATTTCTTTGCCCTGCAATTAATCAACATTCTTAAAAATTACAAATAGAAGAACCAGTATAAACACGAATAACCAAAAATAAAATTGTGCTGGGCAGTATTAAGTTTTTGTCTATGACATGTAAATAACTTATCTTCTTCAAAAGAAAAAAACATACCAATACTTGTTTTTAAAGTACGCCATCGAATCAATTCTTCGTGATAATCATAGATAAAGCTGTATGCTTCCTCGGATTGAAAAGAGGAAGTGTGGGTGAGATTGGGCATTGTCGGGGACGTGTTAACAATGCTTCAATTTCTTTGCCTCAAAACAAATACATATATTAAGTGTTTTATGTAAAAGACTATATACCGTACATGTATAAGCAGAATTTTTAGCAAGGATTTCATATTGGCATTAATAGTTTGGGTTGCAAAATCACTAAAATTGAATATCGCTAAATATTACTTGTAGTGAGTATTTTAAAATCGCTAGAATTACATCTCGCTAAAAAATGCCTATTTTAAAGAACAAATCGCTAAATTTTCGTCTTGCTAAATTTTGAATTGATTATACGGTGTCTATAAATGTACACTTCTTGACTTATTTTACTTAAAAACAGCTTGTTTTCTCTTTTTTAATTGACCAATGCAGATATTTGTAATAAATCATATATCTCTTTTGAACATCAGAATAAAAATACATTTTTCTAATTCATGTCTTTAGAATATTTAATCGAGAAAAAAATACTTATCATGAAATTAATAAGATCAATGAAAAATCTTCTCAATAACCAATTGGCCAGGAAAAAAGGAACTCTGGTGAAATCATATTCTCGTAATGTAATTGCATTTTTTTTTCAAATCATGACCCCATGGGTAATGTGGAGAAAAAAAAAGGACGCTTAACTTTTAACATAGGATTATATTGAATTTTTTCTAAAATCTTCTCCTCCGGAACAGCACAGAATGACTGATCATGTTTATGTTAATGCATCCTCAGGTGGAGTAAATTAAAGATGGTTGAAATTGTGACTCCAGGGGCAGGATGCTTCCATATAAATATGACTTATCATATTTAAAGTCACAGTACAATCGGAAGTAGAGCACAGGCCATCGTCTAAAAAGTCAGAGAATGGATTGGATGCCATACGGGAGTAATCACTCACAGTCGACTCCATGTCAAAATACGTAAACAACTCAGGAAGTGAATGTTAAGATACATTAATCTTTCATTATTTTTATCATACATGATAATGATGTAATACACATATATGACAGTAGATATACATGTTTCAATATAACTAAAGTGGATCGAGGTCGATACCTATAATTATAAATAAGAGGAAATAGAGTTGCATATTTTGTGACATCCATTCCAGGTTCTTTTGATGCGTTTGTCATCTGGAAATGTGTGCATACTGTATGCAAAAATATCATCTTTGGTGAAATTAATGCATACTTGCAAATAATGAACTGGATATGTAAATAACAAATTGCACACTTACATAATTATGTGATATAACATAGTTATATAATTAATATTTGTAAAATTATTTTGTTAAAACACATTCTGATTGCACACCTAACTGCTCTGATATTGATATAAAAAGATGCTTGAGTATCTGATTCACAATATTTTGTTTTTTTTTAGACCTGGTCTTTCAACAATTTATTGGAACTTCATGGGTACCAATTGCACTCAGTAATTAGCAGACCTATTTTTGTATTCATAAAAAGCAGAAATTGTGCAAAATCTTATGCGTGAAAAGAAGGAAATACTTCCTATGACTTTCGACTCAACATTTAGATATGTCGACGACGTATTGTCAATAAAAATGTTTTTTTTCATTCCTATGACGATGCGATAAATCCTGGTGAGCTTGAGATAAAACGTATCATAGATTCTTACATATCTGTTTCATACTTGGATATTTTACTTGAAGAAGACGTTGATAGTATTCTAATAACCAAGCTTCATGATAAACATGTTGACTTTAAATTTTCTATCATTAACTTCCCTTACTTATGCAGTACTATACTTTCATCACCTGCACACCTTGTTTATATATCTCAGTTATTTCGATACGAGCATGCTCTAAGTATGAACAATTTCTTAAACGAGGTAAATTACGGACAGACAAGTTGATAAATCAATGATGATGTGAATATCAGCAGTCTTGTTCTATGGTCGATAAAATGACTTTGTCAGCAAATACAATTTATCATTGAGTCAAATGCTGGTTGATGTTTTTTTTTACTTAATGTTAGTCCATTTAAGCACTGAATTGTAGGCGGATTTTTCTGTTTTTTCATTATCATGACAAGGAACACACGGGGGGTCTGAACGGTCAGCAGGGGATGCTCACTCCACCATGTCACCTGATCCCACCTCTGATGTTACAGAGGTCCGTGTTTGCCCTGCTCCTATTTTGTGTTGTTTTATGGACTTTGAGATTGAGTGTTGTTCGTTATTTCCATATCCTTCACTTAAACACATACATATCAAACTTGACACACATATATACTTTAGATAACTAAATTTTCGCGACACCTTATTTTCGCGAGATTGTCAATTACTCTTTATTAGCGAGACACAATTTTCACGAATTTTTGTTACTTGTCTATAAAATCTTAAGATAGACTATTATACGCGAGAATGTAATTTTTGGCGAGCTCACTGTCTCGCGTAATTACGCAAAAATAAAGTTCTCGCGAATAAAAAGTGATTTACAGTAGAACACGATCTATAAGTATGTAAATTTACTATAAGAAAGTAAATTGTTTATTATAGTAACATGTAATATACAGTACACAAACATTTAAAGTAAAAATTAATATCCAAACACCCTGCCCATCGGACCTTTGTGTCACTTTTAACAAACATAAATGAAAAATATATACCCAAATATGACGCATATAGTTTTCTTTGTACAATAGATATTGACTGTGCATTTATGAAAGGTATAGTGATTTTCAGGTCAGACTAGAAAACTTTGGTAAAGGGGAAAATACACCATCTAAATATATACATAAAAAACAAAATACATATATAACAAACTGGATATATATACATGTATAACAAATTAGATACATACATAATAAATTGGATACATATGTCTTTAAGGTAATTCCACCCTCGTATGATGTCATAGGATTTTGTAAAAAGTGTAATTAGTTTAAAGTCATACTTAATAGAACACTATCTCTTGAAAGAATGCTTTACAATTGATGTAATGATAAATATTGTCAAGTTAAGAATTTGAAAAATGCATATTTTCTATATTTAATCAATTATTCAATCTTTTAAAAAAATGTTGACAAGGGCAATAACTCCTTCTAAGGTCTCTTCATTCAGGCATTTGCTTTATTGAACTTCTAATGTAAAATAGTTTCCCTGATATTCACAATTGAAAAGTAACTTTTCAGTACAAGGTTGTACATGTAGGAACATTCGGAATCAGAATTATGCATTTTAACCAGTTTTTACATATTTTTAGCCGGGCTTAGTGCTCAAAGAGCAATTGCCGGCTTATGTGATCCTGTTCAAGGCAGGATGTTGACCCCATAGTCGCCATTTTAAAGTTACGTGCAAAAATATAGTTTTTACTCTCAACCGCTTTTGAGATAATACAAACGCTAAATAAAGCAACAAAAATAAAACGAAATTTTATCAATATAAAATAAATATTAGTAGTAATGACTTTGAAAATTTCATAAGGCAAAGAACATAGTTCATTAGCGTAAGGATTTTTGATAATCAGTGTTACCGTAGTTCTCTACACATACGAGGTAAAGCAGGAGAGGGAACCAGACTGGCCTGTTTGTTTACATTCAGCTGCGGTACCAGATTAATTCTGATTCTTACAAAATCGGACCGTGGTAATATGATTGAAAAACTCACTGTCAGTGTCATATCATTTATATTGATAGTTTTAAAATAATTTTTTCATCAGAATATAAACGTGATTCATGTAATAAATCCATTCTACTCTGTAAATGAGCCCGGCTCTCTGTACTTCTGAGTACTTTGATTCATAATATTGTTTACAAAAAATGTGATTTTTTTATGTTGACATACACTTCTGTTTATTTGTGTTTCGCATCTTAAATAATATGGTGACCTATACATTTTTTGCAATAATTGGAAAATTTAAAGTAAAATAAATGAAAATAAATGCAGTTTTTGTACTTTGAACCTATAAAAGTGTGAGGATGGAAAACACCTTAAATCGTTTCATACATAACAAACTGGATTCATACATAATAAACTGAACACATATATCACAGGCTTGATACGTAAAAATATGACGCTTTATTAAGACAGAATATTATCAAATCCACGCAAAGACAGATAGCATTTACTGCAATGTTTCTCAGCTTATTGCTTATCTAATTGTTTTATTCTAGAAATAATTGCTTAGGATATACATGTACTTAGTATTTACAAATGTAAGAATTCGGAAATATACAAGAAAAATGCATGATTTGACTTTTCAAAAATTTTGTGTTTGCTAATACTAAATATCAATAATGATTTTGAAAGAAAGATGAAACAAATTTCTGATTATGAACTTAGTATTGTTCATGTATTATTAAATGAGACATATGAAAGAGGAGGACGAAATGGCCTGGCCGATATCCAAACTTTCCCTTTGTTTATCCTCAAATGTTTGTTGTTTCCCACTGTTATTTGTAATCATTTACATCAAACTAAACTTAATCACACTTTCTATATTTGACATTGCTATAAAACTGGCAAAGTAAGGATTTGAAATTAAAAAAAAAATCAAAACTAGAAGTATTTTTATGTCAGTGTCTATAGATGAATTTTGACATGGAAACGCTCTGAAAAGTTTTCCTTATATTTACACTCATTTTCCTACAGTGTAGGATGGGATTCATAGGACTAGTCAGTTACTTCAACACCTGCAATTAAATGAAATGATTACTCAATAATAGAAATGAGCATGCATCAAAACAAAATTTGATAAGTAGCCTGTATTAGTTTTGAGCAGTTTTAAATATCTTTCACTCAAATACATATGCACTTATTTTTCCTTTTTGTAAAGGAAATACAGTAGATAAGAAAAATGCTACACTGTTGATTGCATCAAATCATATTACTAAATAAAAGAAAAAAAACATGGTCAAATGTTCTCTAATCCAGAAATAAGGTATCATTTAAAAACATCTATCGGGATATAAAAACGGGTTGGTCACGAGTTTAATTCCACAGAGCCTGAAGGACTTTATGATGAATTTGATCTCGTACCAACCCATATTTATAATTCGATAGATGTTTTAAAGTGATACTTTATAACATATTTACATTTGTGACACTCATACTTTTTATTTGCCTGATTGTGACTTTTATTGTGTGAAAAACATATTTTTAATCCCACCGGCATTTATGTAACCCATTGAACGCGCGTTAACCCTTGATGACATCACTGAGAAATTACGTCGAACATCTTTCCAAACGCATATCTATGACCTCTTGACCTGTACCGGTATGTACATGTATACAGATATAGATACGCAATGTCTTTAGTAGTGTTTTAAAAAGGAAAACTTTTGCAAATGTAAATATATAGTTATAAATTAAAATGAGAAAGATGATATATGATAATTAAGGATCTATACTTATATCTATTAAATAAACTAAAATTACATGTACCTATCACACAGCCCTTCTTTTTATGTATCTATAAACATACACCGTTTTGTCATTCCATGATCCAACCAAGAGGAGATGCGCTTTGTTATCATAACATAAGCTGTATGGTCTATATATTCCTTGAGTTCGTGTCAGTATCCGTGAGAGAAAATGACCATCTTTGTCTATTATATACACCGTGTTGGTGATCCAATCACACACCAGGATGTGTGACAGCGCGTCTGTACAGATTCCATATGGTTGTACTCGTGATTCTCCTAGGGGACCTGTATAGGAGAAGCGATGTCTTCCTTCACGATCTGTCACTACTACACGGTCTAAGTCAGACACAATAACATCTCCATTGCAGTTCTGTGTTATGTATCTAGGTTCACTATACAGTTGCTGACCCTTGTCGTCATGTTCTATCGTCTGTACGTGCTGTCCTGTGTTATTGTAGCGGTTTATCTTGCCTCCCTGTTCAACATTACTAAATATCCCGACCAGTAGATCTCCATTTAGGGTGGAGGAATAAACACACAATGGCTTCCATGCATCTGTTTATTTTATCAGTGTAGACCGTGTTCTGCCATCCGTAGAAAGCTTGTAAATGCTATTACAAGTGCCTATATAAATCAATTCACCTTTGTTCACCGTGTGTGCTCCATACATAGTATATTCATTAAAAGCCTCACTTGTCTGCTGATGCAAAATGCCCTTTTCTGTGTTAATCAAGTTGAACACAATAATATAATTGTGTCTAACACTTATCCAGAACCGGTCTGACGTAAGGCGAGAAATGTGCATAACAAGACCTGACGTTTTCAGTTTAACAGATCTGACTAACATAGGTGTAGACATCAGTTCCAGCAGATCCTCATTTCTTACTTGTCTCTGTCCCCTTTCAATGATTATGGTTTCAGTTATAAATTCAGTCACATCCTCCATATATCTTTGTGTGAGATTAGGAGTTATCTTAGGGAAAAACGTGTTTTTTAGATATAAGAGGAATTTCACCGCTCTGTTTGTTGACTCTTTATATCTGTATTCATAAATTTCTATGCTGGCAAGAGTTCTCATCTGTTGTTGCCATCTATGCCTCATGCGATTTTTGTATCTCAATCTGACTGTCATATCACACATCATCGTGTCAATGAGATCATTTAGACTATTGGCTTTTGTCAACATTTTTAGTTTCAGTTTGAAAATATTGATTTTTTCAGTATTGATGATTGACAGTAGTAAACAGCTGTTATAGATATTTTCAATTCTGATCCTTAGAAGGATGTCTCTGTGTTCTTCAAGTTTTTCTTTATACGCTGTTCTAATGTCGAGTGTTGAGTGTTTTTCGTGTTTTTCACACTTGGCGCAGACTGGGAGATTACATGAAGAACAGTATTCTTCATACACTTTGTCTGGATGTCTTATACAGGTCTCGCGCGTTAAAATCATCTGAAGTTCTTCGTAAATCACAACATCATGGTACATGGTATCTAGATCAATAGAATGTCGTTCTTTACATTGTCCACACATGTCATGTTTACACGTATTGCAGTAATATTCAATGCCCCCTTTACACGTAGAACAATGCCGGACTCCACACTTAGCGCTTAATCCTGATCCCATAATTAAGAAGGTCTGTAAGAAAAAAAATCTCATGAGAAAAATAGAAGAAAATCAATAGATGAAAACCTTATGTTTTTTTTTTATCATTACCTAAGGTTTAAAACTGTCTCCAGTTGACGAAAAAAAGAATATGTATCTCACAATAGCCGATCAAATTTTTACAATGAATATACAATGAAAAATCTTTTAAAATTTTCTCACGATCTATGGGGACAAAAAAGATGAAAAATGTTGAATCATCCTCATGAAGTGTACATTCACATGTGTTCAAATCATGACACCTTGGGGTACGGCCACCATGGTCGATCAAATTTTTACATAGGAAAATAAAAAAGAAAATTAGTAAGTATTTTTTTCTCAAGTTGGGCAAAGCCATTATTAGTTGAATTTATATGGAAGCATTTTGAGATAGTGTAGATTCTAGTTTGTTCAATTCATAACCCCTAGGGATAGGGTGCAGCCAGAATGGGGGATTTAAATCTGACATTAAAAAAATCTAAAAAAAAAAAAAACATCTATACAGAATATCAAAGCCATCATGATTAGTAATATTTATATTGAAACATCTTCACGTAGTGTAGAATCAAATTTGTTCAAATTATAACCTCCAAGGATAGGGAATTGACTCAGTGATGGATCAAAGTCTTACATAGAAAATTAAAAGAAAAATATCAATAACAGAAAAGCTATGTTAAGTCATATTGACATATAAGCATTCTCATATATTGAAGATTTAAACTTGTTCAAATTATGAGTAGCCTTGGAAGTAGAGAGGGAAACAATGGGGGTCAAATTCAAATTATTACAAAGTAATATAAACAAACAAAATGTTTTTAAAAATCTATTATAAAATATTTACTAGTATCTCAAGAATTTTCTGAAGAAGGTATTAAAGAATTGATAAGGATGCATTCTCAATTAGTATTCAAATTCACCCTAGACCCCCTCGGTGATCTAAACAATATAGATTTGTTTTGTGCTTTTTCTTAGTCGATGTGTTCAGGTGAACGATGTGGCCCATGGGCCTCTTGTTTTTGTCAAAAGTTTTATGATGTAAAATATATTCATTAAGATACAAACAGGAATAAGGAAAATGCCCAATGCAGAAATCCGTGGAATAAGTCTGAAGATTTTTTTATATTGTTAATTTCCATAATTATAATTACATGTAATTGTTACATTGTCTATTTAGCGAAGTTCACATGTCTTATTCTTAATTTTTAATAGAATTTGCCTAATAAAATGTATGTTTTTGAATAAACAAACAGGTGAATTAATATATACACAATGTGTCCGTTTAGTTAATCAGAGACATTATTTGAAAAAGAAAATGCAGTGTCAGAAAGCTACTATAAAAAAAATGTTGATTTTTTAATTGTAAACTCTTTTATATCCAAAGGTAAAAGAATTCAATGTAACCACTTCTAAAGAGTACTAAATAGAATGCCAGTGACAGCAGCACACTTATGTCCAAGTCGTTGATAGATTTACAAAACTCACATAATTATTTAATGATTTATTTAGGATTTTTTATTCAAAATTTTCACAAGTAAAGTGTTCAGATCTGTTGATTGATTGATAGTATATTGTTTACCGTCCCTCTCGAGAATTTTTCACTCATATGGAGACGCCACCATTTTCACTCAGGGCCATTGAGCAGGGAGGGATCTTTTTCGTGCCAGCACCTACTGCGACACGGGGCCTCGGTTTATACGGTCTCATCCGAAGGACCGACCTCCACGTCCTGCAGTGGGATTCGACTCTTTACTTCGCGACTCTAGAGCAGACGCTCTAACCACTGCGCAACGTGGGCGGCATTCAGATCTGTTACTAAACGTACTACATATGTATTTAAAAAATGTCGGAAATGAGAACAAAAAAATGTTGGAAATGAAAATCAAAAAATGTCGGAAATGGAAAGTTGATAATTACCAAAAATTGCGGAAATGAAATGCAGCCGATCAAAAGAGTGGTCAAGTATATATGAAAAATAAACGTTTGACATTTACCTATTTCATACCCGTAGAACTTAAAATATACATGTCATGAAAATAGCCCGGTGCAGGTAATTAGAGAGGATAAATTTTATATCATTTCAGACTTTTAATAAAAATTATATTTTTCATTGTCATTTTCTTTATCTAAAACGTTAATCATATACATAATCAATTAATTAATTTTTTGTTGAATTCCAAAACAGAGAAAAAATCATAAACAAGATCCTTATATACTAACCGTTATCTGAATCAGTCTAAAAGCTAACCACCACCCATACAAAATTAACAATTGTGTGGAGATTACGGAAAGAAGGCCTGACCATGCATTGAATAATACCTATAGATTATATTAATGCGTTCTGACTTATCTTGTCGGTCTTTATCAACACTGAAAAATAAGTTAAAAATTTGCATAATTTGTGTTATAAGAAAAAAATTTGGACAAGAAAGACGGAAGAATAAACTTTAAAGATTTTTTCTCAGATCACGTTGACATTTACACCTCCCCTCCGCCTCCCTTAGTTTCCGTGGATACACATAACAATGAAAACTTTCATTGTTTAATGCCAAATGTTTATGCTTTCGTATTTACTAGATTGTATCGGATAGCGTCATCTTTCATTACTTGTGTATAATCATGTACATTAATTACATTTGCTTAAACCTTGTAACATTATATACTGAAATATAGGTATGATGAAAAATCCATAAGATATATACTTTCAAAAAGGCAATTTAAAAAGCCGCCTCAATGTTCAACAAGCAAAAACTACAGCTTAACAAACTTTGTAAACTCACATGGTTTTTCGCACAAATTAAGGTCACATTGTTGTAATAAACATTACCATTTTCGAACTGCATAACAATGGCATAACCCTTTATTGTCCCCCGCTTTCGCGAAAGCGAGGGGACATTAAATCTCATTCGTCTGTCTGTCTGTCCGTCAGTCTGTCCGTCACAAAAAATTTAACCTTGCCCATAACTTTTGATTTAGTGGAGCTATAACTTTCATATTTCACATGTGTATTCCTTGTGACAAGACCTTTCTTTGGGTATCACCAAATCTGACCTTTTGACCTTGACCTTGGAGTTTGACCCACTTTTACACAAAAATTTCAAACTTTTACTTTGGCCATAACTTTTGAATAGTAGGTACTAGGATTTTCATATTTCACATATGTTTTGTTTGTGGCAAAATCTTTCATCGGATAACAACAAGCTTGACCTTTTGACCTTGACCTTGGAGATTGACGTCCTTATGAAAAAACTTTAACCTTGACCCGAACTTTTGAACGGTGGGGGCTAGGGCTTTTGTACTTTACATATGTAATCCTTGTGAAAAGACCTTTCATTGGATACCAATAACTTTTACCCTTTGACTTTGACCTTGGGGTTTTAATTACTTTTTAAAATTTTTAACCTTGGTCACAACTTTTAAACAGTAGATAGTCGGACTTTAATATTTCACATATGTATTCCTTGTGGCAAGACATTTCATTGGATGTCAACAACCTTGACCTTTTGACCTTGACCTTGGAGATTTACGTACTTATGAAAAATCTTTAACCTTGACTATAACTTTTGAACGGTGGGGGCTAGGGCTTTCGTTCTTCACATATGTGTTCCTTTTGAGAAGACCTTTTATTGGATACCAACAACTTTTACCCTTTGACCTTGACATTGGAGTTTTAACTACTTTAAAAAAACTTCAACTTTGAACACAACTTTTGAACGGTAAATACTAGGACTATTATATTTCAAATATGTATTTTTAGTGGCAAGTCCTTTCATTGGATATCAACAATTTTGATCATTTGACCTTGACCTTAAAGATTTACGTACTTATGAAATAAACTTTAACCTTGACCATAAATTTTGAACAGGAAGGGCTAGGGCTTTTATACTTCACATATGTAATCCTTGTGAGAAAACCTTTCATTGGATATCAACAATTTTGACCCTTTGATCTTGACCTTGCAGTTGACCTACTTTTAAAAAACTTTTTACTTTTGCCATAACTTTTTAATGGTCAGGATTAGGGTTTTCATCATTAAAAAAAATCAACTTCAATGTTACTTTCTAAATAAATGACATATGATAGGATGTTCATACTACACACAATATGTCATAAAGATAACATCTCACCCACAAAGACACCGAAAGCGGGGGACCATATTCTTTGAATTTGCTAATTATATTAGATATAAAGTCAAGCGTAGATGTCTTTTACAATTATAATTTTAAGTTTCCAAAGTGGATGATTTAAAGGAAAATTTAAAAATAAATGGTAGTGTTCCGACTATACGATTCTACAATGGGTTTTTACAAATTGTATAAACGAACTTTCCTTGATCCCAAGTCGTTGAAATTTTCAAAGTTTCTTCTTAAATGTGAGTATTTTTTAAAAAGCTTTGCTCATTTACCTTACTCAGAAATATTTCGTCGAAAATTAGCACCGAAAAAGGGATAATATTGCAAAAGGAATCCACACTAAAAAATAGGATAATGAAATATTGTTTTATTTTTTAAATAGTAAATTCCTTCTATGAAAAGGAAAATTCTTCTGCATTTACGGTTTGAAATGTTAGAATTTTGCAGTGGGATTATCTTTCATGATTCTAGATTTTAGAAGATGGCGCTTAAAAATTCCACCTTTTTAACATAGAAAACAGTCAAACAGATGAAAAATACTATTACCATTCCCAGTTAAGGACAGATAATACAAACATATTTTTTTCTTCGAAAAAGATTTAATATAATATCATTTTTAAAGGAATATCAAAATGACAAAAATACTGCAATATCAAATAGTCTGATTTTTACCATTTAGCTTTTCCTAACATAATTCACCTGTTGTGGTATATTTTTCTTAAGTTTATATTACACTTTTAGCACCATGATAACATATTCTGAAATTAATTTTCACCTGTAAACCTATACTGAATGTGATTTGTCTATATTTGTGTTTTCATTGAAATATTAGTAATATTTTCCAAGTCTTTTTCATATTCCAGT